AGGAAATCTGATCCTGAAACATGGAACAGGGAAGGTGAACCTGAAATATGGAATAGGGAAGATGAACCTGAAGACTGGAATTGGAATAGGGATCCTGAAGACTGGAATAGGGAACCTGAAGACTGGAATTGGAATAGGGATCCTGAAGACTGGAATAGGGAATCTGAAAAGTGGAACATGGAACAGGGAACGTGAACCTGAAATATGGAACAGGGAATCTGAAGAGTGGAACATGGGACAGGGAATGTGAACCTGAAATAGGAAATCTGAAGATTGGAACAGGGAATGTGAACCTGAAGACTGGACAGGGAATCTGGACCGGGCTTTTTGGAGCAGCAGCTTTCACAGGGGAGAGCTCCACACAATTCCTGCTCCATAAAACCCAGCAGGAGCACCGGCAGGGATCCCAGCTCGGGGATTCAGCTGCTCCTGCTCCTCCCCGAGCCCCGGGCAGGGGAAGGAGCCCGGCCCCACTCACTGATCTCCTCCTCGATGGCGTGCACCAGGTGGATGTCGTACTGCGTCACCAGCGTCAGGGCCAGGCCCTTCCGCCCTGGAAAGGGGGAAAACAGGGATTGGGCCGTGCTGGCAGGCAGAGAGGGATGGATCCCAACCCCTCCATCCCCAGCAGCCACGCTGGCTGCTGCGGGAGCTCCTCTGCCTCTGAAAACCCCATTAACGATCCCATTAACGATCCCGTTAACGATCCCGTTCAGACCAGATCCGCCCTCAGGCATCCCAGGGCAGGATCCCAGAGATCCCAGAGATCCCAGGGATGGGGAGGGTGCTGCTGGGACACCGGGGGCCCCTCCAGGGGCTGTCACCCCTCAGGGCTCACCCGCGCGCGCCGTCCGCCCCACACGGTGGATGTAGATCCTGGGCAGCCCCGGGGTGTTGTGGTTGATGACGACCTGCACTGCAGGGATGTCCAAACCTCTGCCATGGGGGGGAAAAACAGCTGAAATGTCATAGAATTACAAAATGCCAGCACGGTTTGGGGTGGGAGGGACCTTAAAACACGTTTAGTGCTTGCCTCGGGTAAGGGCACTTCCACTATGCCAGGGATCTGTTTAATTCCTGCTTTCCCTAAAAGCCCCCCAAGTTCTTAGGGATAAAGTGGCTTGTTGGAGGATTTCTTGGCTGATTGGAGGGTAAATTCCTTCCTCACAGAGTTCAGCAATTCCCCAATTCCTTCCTCAGAGTTCATTTCCCCAATTCCTTCCCTCAGAGCTCAGCAATTCCCTGTCCCCTCAGAGCTCAGCAATTCCCTGTCCCCTCAGAGCTCAGCACTTCCCCAATTCCTTTCTAAGAGCTCAGCAATTCCCCAATTCCTCAGAGCTCAACAATTCCCCAATTCCTCAGAGCTCAACAATTCCCCAACTCCTTCCTCAGAGCTCAGCAATTCCCCAATTCCTCAGAGCTCAGCAATTCCCCAATTTCTCAGAGCTCAACAATTCCCCAATTCCTCAGAGCTCAACAATTCCCCAATTCCTTCCTCAGAGCTCAGCAATTCCAATCCCAATTTCTCCCTCAGAGCTGAACAATTCCAATTCCTCAGAGCTCAACAATTCCCCAATTTCTCCCTCAGAGCTCAACAATTCCAATTCCTCAGAGCTCAGCACTTCCCTGTCCCCCTGGAGCTGCTCCCAGCCCCAGGAGCCCCTCAGGAACCTCCAAGCCCTCCCTGGGCAGAGCCTCAGCACCCAAATCCCAGCTCAGACAGCCTGGGACGAGCCTGTCCCACCCAAATCTGGGGGATTTTAGGCTCTGCTCCTGCTGAGCTCAGCCTAAACTGGTTCTGGGAACAAACCCAGGCGTGAGAGCTTTGGTTTCACCTGGCAGCCACGTCGGTGGCGATGAGGATCTTGAAGATGCTGGACTTGAACTTGGCCAAAGCTGCAAATCTCTGTTTCTGGGAGGGGAAAATTCCAGGTGAGGGCTGTGGGATGCAGCTGGGAGCAGCCCCTGGCAGGGCCCTGCACCCCTCACCTGCTTCATCATGGAGTGCAGAGCCACAGAAGGGAAGCTGAATTTCCTCAGCATCATGTTCAGCACCTGGCAGTCCCTGGAAGGGAGGAAAAAAAAAAGGAAAATCCTCAGGATGCACCGAGGGAATGGATCAGGACACAGCTGGGACAGGCAGGGACTGTCCAACCGTGCCAGGGTGCTCCAGCGTGGCCTGGGACAATTCCAGGGGTGGGAAAACTGGGACAAGTGCAGGGACACCTCCTGTTTCTGTCTTTAATTCCTCAAATCCTCACTTTTCACCTCATTCATGACATCTCCCACAACCCCAGGGTGCTCCAGAATGGCCTGGGACAATTCCTGGGGTGAGACAGGCAGGGACACTCCCCATTTCTGTCTTTAATTCCCAAAATCCTTATTTTTCTCCTCATTCATGACACCTCTCATTATCCCAGGGTGCTCCATCGTGGCCTGGGACAATTCCTGGAGTGGAAAAACTGGGACAATTGCAGGGACACCTCCCATTTCTGTGCGTAATTCCCAAAATCCTCATTTTTCCGATCCTTTATGACACCTCCCACAACCCCAGCATGCTCCACCATGGCCTGGGACAATTCCTGGAGTGGGAGAACTGGGACAATTGCAGGGACACCTCCCATTTCTGCATTTAATTCCCAAATTTTCCCCTCCTTCATGACACCTCCCACAACCCCAGCGTGGCCTGGGCCAATTCCAGGGGTGGGAAAACTGTGCCAATTCCAGGGAGGAGGAGGAGGAGGCCCCTCACTTGCAGGTTTTGGTGAAGATGATGATGGCCCAGTCCTCGTGCTGGTCCTGGAAGCTCTGCACCAGGTGCACCAGGTAGGCGTCCTTGAGTGCCTCAGGCACCAGCAGGTACCGCTGCTCCAGCCCCTCCACCGTCCTCACCCTGCAGGGAACGGGGAAAAATGGGAATCCCGGGATCCCCGAGGCTGGAAGAGCCCCCCCAGGATCATCCCCAAGGATGGAAGAGCCCCCCAGGATCATCCCCGAGGCTGGAAGAGCCCCCCAGGAATTCTCTAGCCCTTTCCCAGGAATTCTCCAGCCCCCTCAGGAACTCTCCAGCCCTTTCCCAGGAATTCTCCAGCCCCCTCAGGAGCTCTCCAGCCCTTTCCCAGGAATTCTCCAGCCCTTTCCCAGGGATTCTCCAGCCCCTCCCTGCCCTTCTCCTGACACCCCACAAGGCCGGGCGGTGCCTCAGCAGCGCCGGCACAGGGAGAGGCAGGAACAGGATCCCGAAGCCGGGGAAATCTGGGAATTCCGGGAATTCCCGGCACTCACGGGGCCGTGGCCTCCCAGAAGAAGGGGCTGTTGGCGGCCAGGGCCCGCAGCTGGCCCAGCGTGGCCGTCAGGGTGGCACTGAACAGCAGCGTCTGGCGGCGCGCGGGCACCGCGCCCAGGATCAGCTCCAGGTCGGCGCTGAAATCCGCGCTGCCCTGCTCCAGCAGCCGGTCCGCCTCGTCCAGCACCTGGCACGGCGGGCACGGGGAGAGCGGGGAGAGCGGCAGTGGGCACGGGGAAACACGGGGAGAGCGGCAGTGGGCACGGGGAAACACGGGGAGAGCGGGAATGGGCACGGGGAAACACGGGGAGAGCGGGAATGGGCACGGGGAAACACGGGGAGAGTAGCAGTGGGCACGGGGAAACAAGGGGAGAGCGGCAGTGGGCACGGGGAAACACGGGGAGAGCGGCAGTGGGCACGGGGAAACACGGGGAGAGCGGCAGTGGGCACGGGGAGAATGGGAATGGGCACGGGGAAACACGGGGAATGTACCCAAGGAACCCCAGGGAGAGCAGCAGTGGGCACGGGGAAACACGGGGACAGCGGGAATGGGCACGGGGAGAGCGGGAATGGACACGGGGAGAGCGGCAGTGGGCACAGGGAAACACGGGGAGAGTGGGAGTGGGCACGGGGAGAATGGGAATGGGCACGGGGAAACATTGGGAGAGTGGGAGTGGGCACGGGGAGAATGGGAATGGGCACGGGGAAACATTGGGAGAGTGGGAGTGGGCACGGGGAGANGGGAGAGGCAGGAACAGGATCCCGAAGCCGGGGAAATCTGGGAATTCCGGGAATTCCCGGCACTCACGGGGCCGTGGCCTCCCAGAAGAAGGGGCTGTTGGCGGCCAGGGCCCGCAGCTGGCCCAGCGTGGCCGTCAGGGTGGCACTGAACAGCAGCGTCTGGCGGCGCGCGGGCACCGCGCCCAGGATCAGCTCCAGGTCGGCGCTGAAATCCGCGCTGCCCTGCTCCAGCAGCCGGTCCGCCTCGTCCAGCACCTGGCACGGCGGGCACGGGGAGAGTGGGGAGAGTGGCAGTGGGCACGGGGAAACACGGGGAGAGCGGCAGTGGGCACGGGGAGAGCGGGAGTGGGCACGGGGAAACACGGGGAGAGCGGGTGTGGGCACGGGGAAACATTGGGAGAGTGGGAGTGGGCACGGGGAGAGCGGGAATGGGCACGGGGAAACACGGGGAGAGTAGGAATGGGCATGGGGAGAATGGGAATGGGCACGGGGAAACATTGGGAGAGTGGGAGTGGGCACGGGGAGAATGGGAATGGGCACGGGGAAACATTGGGAGAGTGGG